CGTAGGCTGTTGAGAAAGCTGAGAATCGTGACCGGCGCACGCGCACCGTAACACAGTAACCTCTGTAATTATTTTTATGAGCTACAGCCGTGAATTCTCGTATACGTGAGTTTTAAGCCTCAGCTGAAGATTGTATCTTATCAATAAAGTGTTATTGTGTTCTATTATTTTACTGTTATAGTAATTTAAATATGTACAAAATTAAATAAAACCGTTAAAAATCATATATTGTATTTATTATGCTGAAAAGCTTATGAATACACTCACATACATTTTTTTAAATATATAAATAACGCATAATTTACACATATATACAGAACAATAGTGTAGTTTCTCTAACAGTAAATAATAATTCATAATTTTTATCAACACTCACCCACCGGTACCCTCCTTGATCCACAATAATATTATCTGCGTCGAAAAATAGATCTATAGAGATCCTAGAATTTAACTACCTATAGACATTTAACATCTATTCATAGTAAAAACTAAGAGTTGCTTTATGACTCAATATTTTGTTAAATTTTAGTACCGAAGAAAAATATTCGTTCAATGAACCATTGAGCGTCAATAGACAAAAAAGCGTGACAAGTGCGAGTCAGACTCATCACGAAAGGTTCCGTATTATTGATTAGGTACACAAATTTCTTATACGCGTTGAAAACGCGACATATGTATTAGTTAAACTTATTTGAAAATTATTTTAACTACGGCCCGACGTTTCGGCTGCGAACTTACTAATATATATCGCGTTTTATACCGTTAAAATGTCTTCCAAGCAACCGTGGTAGAAATGAAAATGTATGAACAGTATTTAGTTATTTATTTTATTTTATTAATAAAGCAGAAATTACAATTATAATTGTTATCGCAATAAATAGGCATAATAAGGCTATTGTATGAGTTACCATATGATGAAATATTTCATTTTGTTTAAATTTCAAAAAAAAATTGGCACAGCTACCTAAGTAGTAGAGACAGAAGTAGACTAGGAATTAGAGATTTCATTTCGTACGAAACCCTAAACTAGAGTTAATATATATAGAAAGAGACAGCTATAGTCTATTATCGTAATTGATGGTTGTAAATATGGAGGTGTCATGGTTTCCGGTACGAAGCTACAAATAAAACGTCGATTTTGATCTATGACTTAACTGACAGTTTACTTTTAAAACAATTCTAGTCATTATTGTGTCGTCGCTGACTGGTAGTTTGAACTTGAAGATTTTTTGTCTCGTCCTTCTGACGATATTATCGTAATCCATTATAAATTATAGCGCTAAGATGTTTCAATTGTACAAGTAGAAACGAACAGAATTTAAAGTAGAACGATGTTTTGTTTATTAAAAAACATAAGTGTCTATTTATCCGCTTACGCCTTTGTATGCTTAGAATATAATTCTTACATGGTGTTACTGTCTTTTATGAAAAAAAAATTAAGTTATTGGTACTAATAAAACTTGTTATTAGAGATCGGATATTCTTATGTTATTTCGTTATTCACTTTTCTTAGTACTAGAAATGTTAAAGAATAAAAAATATCTTGCAAGGCAAACGAATCACGTGCAATGCAATGCGTGTTCAAAATAAAACTTAAACAAGATTCGTGTTCGAAATTTAAAACATTTAAATTGCACGTTATTGCTACCGTGCGCGTCGAGTCCGATTCCATTTTCAAATTCCGCACAAAACTTATAATTACGCGTGGTGATTTGCTGTGTATCCAGGTTCAGGGTTGCCAGAATTGAAATCCCTCTAATTCGTGAGACTGAAACTAATCGTGAGAAAGAATTTTGGAATTCGCTTATGATTAGGTAAGTGCCGATTACTGAGGAGTCTGTATGATCTATCGATGTGTTATTCTATCTGTTTTTAATATTAAAATATTTATATCCAATTATTGGAAATTGGTATAATATTGGTATTATATACCACTATAACATAAATGTAACATTTCCATCTCTCCAAATTTGTAGCAGAGCCGAAATTCTCTTGTCGGTGTGTTTCAACTTAAGATAAATGAGTTATATATGAAATAAATCTAAAATACAATATTACCTTTTTTAATAAAAACTTCATACTAGTATCCTAGATGACTAATAAAAAAAAAACTATTAAAATGATAATAGAAAAAGTGTGATTTAAGAGAATAAATTAAGAAGTGCGTTCGAACCGAGAACGGTTGCTACGAAGGCATGCTGCGAGCTCGCACTTCGAAAAAAGAACGACGTCAACCGAACTGTCAGAGCGCTGACAGAGAATGAGAAATGTTGCCAACAACAAAAAACAACAGACAGTCCATTCATAAAACCACTCGCATTTAGAAATTAGTTTATTTTAATTACTCGCTCTGCGTATTGTTGTATTAATTATTGAACGGTCGTTCGGCTGGACATTATATTTTATTGTCTTTCTGTGAGACGTGATTTATACGTCTAGTTAGTAAGTTATTTGAATTTTAATTTAGACGAGTTTTAATGGGGCACGCTTGAATGGATTCTAATTAGAGGAAAACAAGGAGAGGATATGAATAATGTCAGATATAAATTCGGGTTATGGGTTAGGAAAGCAATCGGGCTATCGACGGCACAATGGGCCCGTTTTGCTTATAAATTGCTTTTAGAAAAAACAGACGATGAAAAATGATTTGATTTATTCGTATTAATCAGTCGATACGGCTCTTGAGATGGTGGAAAATTGCGGTCGGCTGAAACTAGTATAGCTTCTTTGTTTGCTTCCAGTGGGTAGCTACAAAAATTTGAGTGAGATAATGTTTTATATACGTCACAAACAATGTAATAACATTTACAATTGAAATTATAGGTACTGCTCTAAAATCCTCGATTATCATTTCTCGTTGTTTTCGTAACTGGATATACAAGTCGACAAAAATTAGTTACAGCAGATATACCTAGATAACTTAGGTATTTTGTAATGTTACAGTTTTATTCTCTACAGTGTCACTTAGACAAATATTTAGAGTGATGTTTAATTATTAAAATGAAAAATTACACAACTGTTATGTTATATTTTGTATTCAAAATAGGTACAAGTATTTACCGAAATGAAAACAAAAACATATTAATCAATATAATTACGCTTTAAATCAAATTAAAATTAGTGGGCGGTCTCAAATGACATGTCATTTAATGCACAGTTATTAAAATTTTGCTCGATAAAATATTAGATAGACAGATAATATTTATGCCTGGACAAAAACACTACCGCCTAACAAAATACCTTAAAACCTCTGAATTTTCGACTATTGTAACGAAAAACATCCGAGCTACAGATTACAAACGAAATTGATTTGTCACGTTCGAAACCATAGCGTTGTGCAATGGCAACACCGCTCCCGTTTCAAATTCAAAATTCGAAATTAATGGCGAATTTGACAGGAGCTTTATTGTGCGGCTAATTTAAATCCTATCAGAGCGCTGCGATGACAGCGCCTTAATGGGTTCGCGGTTGTTTTTAAGAAATAATCCTTTTCATTTCATTATGGATTAGAATTTTAATTTCCTTTATGGCAATGTTGAATTGTCGACCGGTGCTTATAGTGGATGTTTTCATTAAAATATTAATTTAAAATACGCCTTTGTCGAAGTTTATTTTTGTCGTTTGGACTAAATTTAAGAATGGAACGAATTCAGTACGACCAGCCACTTTATATACCTAATATTAAGAGCGATTTGAAACGAATATGTGTATAAAACTTCTAAAATTCTTCTTTATTTATATTGCTTCAATACTTTTCTGCTATCATATGCATTTTTACACTGGGTTATTATTATTTTAATCTGTAGACGCATTATGAAGACTGTGACGAAGAATTAGTGGGTGTGAGTTAAGGTCCTCGGAAGATAGACATACCTATAAATATAACGTTTCGGTCCGCCAGGGTGCCGATATCTGAACTTGCGTGTATATAAATCTATCATTAACAGGTATCCACCGCATACCCCACCGTTTGATAAGGAGATTTTACACACTTGTAACATGGCTCTTAAAAATGTTTGTCCGATATTTACTCGTTCCTTCTCCAAAGTGTTACAGAATCCTTTATTTTAAAAGGATGTCTTCTCTATAATTTGCTTCACAATTATGAGTTCGGCTCAGCAAGTTTGTATCTTGCTGGTTACAATAATTACGGGTTGTCTGAAGTTTTTTAAACGCTCGGTTTGTTGGTGAAAATAATAGTTATAACTAAACTTTTGGGGCTTTATATGGCAGATATAAATTATGGGGTTTGTCAATGTACGTTTATAAAAAAACTGTTTATAAGCTCAAAGTTGAAATTTCGTAGATATGTTTTATGGTGTTTTTCTTCTTATCTGTGATATTAACGAAACTAATGTTTCATTAAAATTTACTATGTATAGGAAGGTATTTAACTATGTATGTTACTGTTTAAACTAATAGTAACTTAGAATTAATAGTACTAAATGTAGGTAATTTAACCATTAGCTATGCATATCGCTTTATTGTATTAAATAATCCTTCGAGCAAATTTTATTTGGAAATATTTTGTTCCTATTAAAATATGTCATTCATAAGTTCTGTTTTGTATAAAAGTTATACAAATGAATGCAATATGTGAGATTCTAACATGTAAACCTTTTGTTAATGTCCCCACCTCAGACGTCACTTAAAATGGAGGCTGTGAATATATCCGACGGAAATCATAACCTTTGCATAATAAAAAAAGCAATTTCACGGATTGTTAAAATATTGCGTCATAAGAGCTCGAGTCTAATGGCATTCTTATAGTCAATATATGTATACAATTATACCAATGACGAGTTCTAGCACTTAGCCCAGCAGGACGATACAACACTCGCTCTCCTCGGAACCGGTTAAGCCTATTAAAAAAGCCTCATACCTCACGATGACACTGCATATAAAGATTCATGCCGCTATATCTAGATTAAGGCAAACATATCACAGAATGCACAGAGTTTATCACAAAGCGAGCTCAAAAGCGATCGTGTGGCGCATCGCTATCGATTCACAACCGCCTCAGGCGCAGCGTAGATCACAGAATCACGCGTACAAAATGTAATAATATTCGACCATCCCGCGGGCTTATCGGTAAACGACTGGAGGCGAAAAGGTTTTAGCTGGGGGCGAAGGCCGCGCGTCGCTCGAGGCTCCGCCCCGGGGTGCACCATTGGCCCGCGAGACGCATTCGGCGGCGTGCCGGCCACCTCATTGGCTACCGGCGCCCTCGGCGCTCCGTGGGGGCTTCTCGGGCGCTGACAATATTTTGACGTTTTTTAGCCGAGCGGTGGCATTTCTCGTCGTGGCGATTAATTGTAATTCTTTATGGTTATTGTAGGGTTAAGTGAGCGTTTGACGCGACGTTTTGTTATCGAGTGGATCCGCTAGAACCGTGTTTGCGTACGATACGAATTTTTTATCTGTATTTGATTAGGGTGCTCGTGAAGACGGGGCGAGACAATGTCCGCTCTTTGCGCTTTTTTACACCTGTTTACGCTGAAAAGGTATTTTTAGTGTATGATAGAGTTGCACAATCTATTGTTGAGTGTTTTTATGCAATTGTGTGGGAGTTTGCCAGTTTCCGCTTGATTTGTTGCGATCGAAAGCTTTTTTGCAAATTTATTGAATGTTCGTGCTTTAAGTGGAATATAAAGGAAAGGATTATATTGGTTCTTTTAGACAAACATTTGATTTTACCTACCGAACCTAAAGAATTTGTTTTGTTTGATAGTGTACCAGATTTTACGAACCCCATTGTGGTTAAAAAAATTTATAGGTTTTAACGTAGTTAAAATATATTTAATTCAAAACTTAGTCTCTGAATTATGAATTAAAATCAAAAATGTCCAAAATGAATACCTAACTAAAAACTTGCATGTTCGACCTATAAGTTCAATTAAAAAATGCATAAATAAAGACAGATTAATAAATGAATAAATTAACAATAAAATTAAAAGCCCTCAACCCCTTTTCGCTCCTTTAAGACTGATTCCTAAGTTTATTTCCCTTGGAAATAACCGACCAAACATAGAATTAAAATGTACCTCTTATAAACATTAATACAAAAGAACTACCGTAAATATCATTGTATTCAACAACGATACCACAATTAAACATTTTCCCTCTCAAAATTACCTGGCCATTTGGCAGATTATTACTGAGGGTTTTTAAAATTATCGCTGCTACTCTGTACTCCAGTCAAAATTGGTGTTACTTTCAACAACAGGTGTCAAAATACAGTACAGTATTTTTGTTATGGTCTTTACAATTTCGATTACATTTACGCTGTTCATGATGCAACAATTTTTTGGTAGCTTTTGTGGTAGCTAAGCAGTAATTAGTTCTTATTTCCCATACATTGTGTAATCGTATACTGTCCATACCGACGTTTTTAATAAGTTGGCAGATACCCACACACAAAAAAAACAGTTTTCGATTTTTTTATATAAGCTAAAATGGATCTTAGTTATCATGCTAAACTTTCTAGAATTGTGTAATGCTGCTTTCATAAAACGATATTGAAGTCACAGTCTAGTACAGACATATCAAATATTTCAAGCTTTTTAGGGTTTTAGAAGATTTTATGAAAATGTATTCTCTTTACGACGGCGTTTTTGTTTTTGCAAACATCCTGTTCAACTTTATAAATTAAGGCTGTTACCTACAACGTCGTCCGCGTTCCGTTCTTGTTAATCTTACAAGATAGACATATACGTTCGCGGACTTATTTTAGATTACTTAAAGCGTAATCATTATATCGTATCTCAAACCGTTTCGCAGCGTATTCAATGGAAACGCAGAAGGATTCGCTCCTATTAGTCATAGCGATATGTTTTATATGTATAGCCTTCGTCAATAAATGTTCTAACCAACACAAAAAGAGTAGTTCCGGAGTTTAGCGCGTTGAAACAAGCTTTATATATTAGTATAAATATAAAACCTCCTGTTTTTGTAATTTCTATGCGAGCCAAACACACTTCAGGAGCAGAAAACACACCCTTACCAATTTAGTCACGGTGACGTTCGCCGACTTTGTCAATTAAAAATTATCCAAACTGTCAAACGGGTTTGATAAATTCACAACTTTTCGAATTTGGAATCTTTTTGTTTCACCGCCCGATTTGATATGGCCGGCCGTTAATTTATGAATTTGGAATAACGGGATTCCGAAAATAAATTTAAAAATGACATAATGAATAATAGGGTTACCTAATAGGCTTTGATGTTGAAAGTAGATAAATCTTCTTTTTTATCTCTTTTAACACTTGTTCAACGGTTTAAAAAATCTTAATCTTTAAGAAGATTGAGAAGGAGAAAATACAGATGGTTCCTATAAACAGATATATATATAGCTTTGTTTTTTTACAATTCATTATTACTTAGCCATATGTACAATTTGAAATAAAATTTACATTTTAATAAAAGTATGGTTAAATACTGTCCATAGTTCCCCGTGACCACGGCTGCTGCAAAGCAACCGAAACGTCGGGCCGAAGTTAAAAATCATTTTCAAATAAGTTTTAAACGGTTAAAGTGTTTTATTTAAAAAGTATAGTTTTTAAGTTACATAATATGTAACTACATACCTATTTACATCTTTATATACTGTAAAACGGACAGACTAATCACAAAAAGAACGTACTGTAATTACTTAGATACCAAACAGCTTTAGTGAAAGAAATATTGCAAATAATAATCTCTTTTCCAAAATACTAATTCATCTTAATCAAATAAAAATTTGTTAATAAACCTAGATTTAAATCACCTACCAGCGGCCACTAGGTACTAGAAAAATAAGCACTTACATTGAATTTAGGGGTAAAAAAGAGCTATTTTAATAAGTCTGTATTTAATTGAACCTGGACTGGGGTCTTAGACTTGCCTATCAAGTGGTCCTAGGTTTGAATCCTAGGACATATAAATATCTATCAGTTGAATAGACACATGTTCCGAATATCCAAAGCCAAAATAGGTCGACAACGCATGCTTAGATGTTATATAGCTGGGCTACTTCACCTAGCATCAAGGGAACCTAATGTCTGTCCTTCTCTATATGAGAAAAAAATGTCTGTCTGTTTATGTCTGCCCACTCCCCCAAATAACTGTAGTCCACAGTGGAATTAAGAAATATTCTATTCTTAACCATAAATAGTTTATTAGTTAATTTTGATACATTCGAAAGGCCCAATCTTCATATCAAGCGACGTCTAATATTAAAATGATGATACTCATGTAAAATTATACGTCGCGTGCGCACAAGACGGGAATACCTTCGTAATGGAGATGCTTGGAATTTTTGGGAAATTACTAGCCAAGTGTCTAACTGGTGTGTTAGAAGCTACAATGTGACATTGATTCTAGATAATGTTAGAGAGGGATAGAAATATTTTTTCTTTTCGTGTGGACAAAAATATTACTGTTTATTTATCTTACTAAGTCTAAAATTTAAGAGTCTAAACATTTTAGGTAAAAATACAAATCCATTTGTTAAGTAAAGCATTGTTAAGCAACCTAACTGTCAAGTTTTCACTTATTACAATTATAACGTCTTTATTTAGGAATTATATTATATATAAAGACGTTATGGATTTCAAACCCGTGAAATAGAGCATGTTTGTAAAATCCTAGTCTAAAACTATTGGTCTTAATCTACAGAATGCCGCATGAACTAAGCGTACGTCGCCAACACATCGCCTGCATTTAGGTAAACTTAAAACCTAAAAAAAATATTGTTTGTGTAGCTCATAACTTTCCGGCGCGTCCGAAACAAAACAATATTAAGACGAAGGAAAGCAAGATACATTTGTGGCCATAAAACATACAAAATTACTATATTTAAGGGTACAATTAGAGGTGGGGACCTCAGCTCGCACCTTACAATTATAAACTGCTTTGTGATATACAGAATGGGGGCCATTTTTTAGATTTGATGCTACAATTTTCTAAGAACATGCTCAAAGTGCATTTTGTTTTTTCTTTTTGAGTCGATTTTTAAGTACCAAGGAATACTGATTTAACGGGCTTTGTTTGGTCTAATGGGACCATTACCTAATAACCTAATATGATGTACCATAGTGTACCTATATATGATAGCCAATGGGTCGTGGGTTTAAACACCAAGATCCAAGTTTCTAATTAATTTATATTTTTTCTGAAACATGTTGGCCTCCGTCTGAAAATTAAATGAATGGTAGGAATCTTATCCGTCCGTGTCACGAACCAAAAAATTCTAATGTCAAAATTTTTCATCTTGTTCTTTAAATATATGGCTGGGTTATTTCCCCTTCCATCCTGTGAACCTCAAGCTTTTCTCTCCTACTTTATCAAAGTAAAAAAAAAAAAATATTCTTATTAATTTTGCTATCAGGAATTAAGGTTTTGACGAGCTCATCCAGATGTTAGTTATAGTCATGACTAACGCGTCGCGGGTTCGACTTCCGACGTGTTTGTCATAAATGTAATTGTTTACAACAAAACAGATGGTTAGGTAAAGAAAATTCTAGTCAAAATTTGAAACGAAAGGTAAAAGAGATTACGTTATTATTCCTTTTGTTTGAAGTTTAAATAAATAAGTTAACAACTCTACTTATTTCGTAATATAGGGGTAAAAAAATTGAAAATTCGAATGGGCTTTTTAAATCTAAAATCGAATCGGAACTTTTAATTTATACAAATGCCATCATGTTCATATATACCATATTACCATATTATTTTCAAATATATATTATTATCAAAAACGTACCAACTTTTTATCTATTTATTAAAAAGCAATCACACATTCTTACAGACTAATAATTCCAATATGAGAGTGAGTTATAATTTTTAACATCTTATCGATCATTGTCTTTATGACATCGCATACCGTGCAATTGAAAATGTCTATTTTACAATTTACACTGTTAAGTAAGGACCATATTAATACTGGATGTTTTACGTTATCAATATTTTTAGCGCTATTAAAGAATGTCAGTCACGTTTTCAGTAACATTCACTCATACCTATTACTATATCCCATATCAATCATAACTCATTTTAGTTTGAAAGTTATATAAATGATGAAAACACTGTGTTTACGAGATAAACGACGCGAGAACACGAAGAGAAGATTATAATAATTCACTTGAGTGGTTTAATCCGATCATTTCGTGATCTTTTACGATAACTTTTGGGTATCATTTAAGAAGAAAGGGTTAAATTTTGATAAAATTATCTTTTGTCTTATCATTTATTATAGAACGCACCTTGTTTCGTCTGTAGTTTACGAGAGTAGTACCAACACATTTCAATAAATAACACATGTGAAACATGGGGTCGTTGTTAATTAACCACTATATTTCTTTTTTTAAACCATTAAGTTCTTTTTTATTTTAAAATAAGAACAACCACAACAATGCAGAATAACTTTCCATATCCCTACCCCCTTTTAATTTACAGGTTTCCAGACGAAGACTATCATAGTTCAGAAAAATTGTAAATTGACTAGAAAGACCCGTAGGGGATCAAACCGACGACCCGTTGATTATTACGAACATTGCTGGCATTAGACCAACGAGACGAGAGAATGTCAACGTACTTTAAGCAAAATTCTTAAGATAATAGTTTAAGGTTTTACAAAACTTTTATTGTATCACCTGTAATATGTCACATGTTTTAAGTCCTCGTTCGTCGTACTTTGATAAGTGGATGTTGTAAAAAGTAAATGCCGCATCACCAAGCCATATTGTTGCGTGGTACAAAAGAATAAAAAGAATTTAA